CTTTGATGGAAAGAAGACGAAGTCCTGACCAGAGACGAATGGTTGATGAAGATGATGGACTATTCCAAAATGGCGAAACTGACTGGGAAAATCAGAAACCAGGAAGAGAAGAACTTCAAGGAATGGGGAAAAATTATAATGTATTTAAGAGAACGCTGTAAACAACTAAAAAATTTGGCAAGATTTGAGTAATGCTTGTAATCTACTAAAAATTATGCTGAACATGAACTATTTACAAAGAAATAATAGAGAAAATAAGAGAAGCAGTTGAAAAAAGATTGTTAATGGTAACCATGGAAGGGAGAAGGGGAGGCGAAGGATTTAGGGAATCCTGTATGATGATGTTGATGTTTAAGGTTTGCATTTTTAATTTACAATGTAAAACCTAATAAAAAATATTTGGAAACACAACAACAACACAATCTATGGCCTTTGAAAGATGTTTGTTGTATTGGCTTGTTTTTGCTTTTTGTTGTTGCATATTTTGCATTCTCATTTTGCATTTTTAATGTTGTAAACTGCCCTGTGATCTCTGAATGAAGGGTTGTTGTTGTTGTTTAGTCATTTAGTTGTGTCCGACTCTTCGTGATCCCATGGACCAGAGCACGCCGGGCACTCCTGTCTTCCACTGCCTCCCACAGTTTGGTCAAACTCATGCTGGTAGCTTCGAGAACACTATCCAACCATCTCGTCCTCTGTCATCCCCTTCTCCTTGTGCCCTCCATCTTTCCCAACATCAGGGTCTTTTCCAGGGAGTCTTCTCTTCTCATGAGGTGGCCAAAGTATAGGAGCCTCAGCTTCACGATCTGTCCTTCCAGTGAGCACTCAGGGCTGATTTCCTTCAGAATGGGTACGTTTGATCTTCTTGCAGTCCATGGGACTCTCAAGAGTCTCCTCCAGCACCATAATTCAAAAGCATCAATTCTTCGGCGATCAGCCTTCTTGATGGTCCAGCTCTCACTTCCGTACATCACTACTGGAAAAATCATAGCTTTAACTATACAGACCTTTGTTGGCAAGGTGTAGACACACTGAATGAATGAATGAATGAATGAATGCCCAGCATCTTGTTCTGACAGTGACTAACCAGATCCACATGAGAAGCATGTAGAGGGGACTTGAGCACATCCAGAGGCATGGTTGCCTTCCATCTCAATAAGAAGTTTTGAACCTGTATAGTGCAAGAATTGACCCTGCCTTTTTAAAAGAACAACAACAGAAAAACCAATCACCCATGCAAGTGTGTTCAGATGCTAGCTCTTCGCAGCCCTTTATTAAGTCCCTGAATGTAACACCAGGTAATCATTGGATTAGTGCTAATTAATGCAACTCTGAGTAATCACTGGATTAGAATTCATAAACGTTGCTACAGGTAAGCTTGGGCTTATTTTAATGAGAGTTTCAGAGTGAAAGATGAGAATGTAGTTCTCGGCACACCACCTTTTCAGAGAAAGTGTTGAGGTACCTTTTCAGGTGTGCCTGATTCACCACAGGAGGAAACAAGTGTATCCTGCTGACAGACAAGAGGCTTTGCGTGGACAGGCAGAGACCCCCCCCCAACCCCGGGCGACACCGTGTTATGTCAAGACAACATGTTATGGGATTAAAATTTTGGCCACAACTTTATTAAAACTTCAGATGTAGGGAGACCTTGGCTTAGGCATTGGGCGTTTATCCCTCCCAGTCCCGGCCAGGGATCTGGGGAACTTCAGGGTTATCCAGAATGTGTGGGGATTGGGCTGGCTCTGGAGAACGCCTGTTCGCCTCCATCGCAGGGGAGAGCAATGACAACCTATTGACGTATGGCCAATGACTCCCTCAAAACAACCCCCTTAACGGGGAACCCTGAGATCACCGCCGCAGGGGGGGAGTTGGTCACGGCTTCTCGTCCCCACCCCCCCAATTTAGGATAGACTAAAGGATTCCGCCCAAGGCCTGAAACCGCCAAAGTTGCGACATTTTGCTATGGGGAAGGCAAAACCTGCCAATGCTGGAAAATTCCTTTCCGGCCCTTCAACAGCGACCATAACGTAGCGGTTCTTGCATACCTGTGAAGAAGAGGTTAACTTGCGAAAGAAGGCTTAACTGAGGGAGGGCAGGGTGGTGTAATAAAAATTTTAAGGTCTTATATATATAATAACTTTTCACAAATGTACCAACCAAGCACGTACATGGAAATGTGGACCACATGTCTGGAGCAGCACAGGAAGACAGTCCTGAAACCATTTTGATTCCCAAACTGACCAAATGTTTTCTCTGCAAGGAGAGAGGGGATGAGGGAACCTTCCCATTGCCTCAGGAATTGAGTAATCACCATTTCAAAGGAATGGCCAGACTACCAGGAAAGGTAATCAGATAAAGCATCATTAGATAACCTGGCAGACAGGAAAAACAACAACATTCAAATTTCTGTTGTAGACCACCTTTTTTGTGATGTAAGTATGATGTTTGTAGGGGGTGGTCTTGGGTTACACCCCTTCTGTGATGTATGTATGATGTATGGAGGGGTGGTCTTGAGCTCCAGGGAAGGGAATTGAAAATGTTTATATAAGGGCAGGCACACCTTTGTGTGGGTCCTCCTTTGTCTTCCTGCGATTGAGGGGAGCATCCTGTTGCAACAGCTTTAATAAAGATCAGGCTTACTAGCTGCTTTGCTTCTCAATATTCTCTGGTTGGCCTCTGTTATTTTCTCCTACCGATAGGGAACCCACTTAGGGTCTCTATATGGGCTCTTGGATATCCCATAAGGGAATAAGGGCAGATTTTGTTTACAACAGTGGGAGAAGCTCTGAAGCTGACTGAGAACTCCCAGGTAAGTTCTGCCCACTATTGTGTGGGCAGGTCGATCCCTCCCCTTACCTGGCCAACGCTCTCCTGCCAACGCCTCCCCAACTGGGATTGGGTAACTGGCAGAAGTAGGTGGCCACCTCCAGGTGTCCAGCCTGGGGAGGGGGAATCCAGGCTGTACTACGGGAGCCACATGAGATCATGGGGGCTGCGTGCGACCACGCAAAAGGCGCCCCCCATTTGATGTGGGGAGCAGTCATTCAATTTCTGTTCTATTCCATAGAATGTTCTATGTTGAGAATTTATTGTTCAGTTAGGAAAGGCGTTTCCGTCACTGCTGCACACCTGAGCCTCAGCTGGCTCCTCCTCCATTATTCCACATGCAAACACTGATCCATCACCATTGCTTTGGTATATCAAGTTGCCATTGAAAAAGAAAAGAAAAATGCTTCTGTTCCTAATTGCAGCAGATGAATGATGGGGTATAAGCCCTTCTTGAAATGACCATGCTGTAAGATCTGGACTCCCTCCCTGCAGACTGAAGGTGTAAATAGGTGAATAAACCACATTTCTGTCTTTCCCCCCCAATGTTTCAAAAAGAAAAAAAACTCTTTTTTTTGCGCATGCACACACACTTGTTTACATTAAACCATAGTCGAGATCAGTACCTTTGTTTATAGGGTTCCCTGAACCCCTGGAATTCCCTCCCTCGCTCCCTTGGCTTCCAAAATATATCTTCCTTTTTTTACTGCATCTAATTGCATTTATCCAAATTATTATACTTCATTTTTATCCTTTGTTTTACAATACAAGTGCTATGTCGACCCTGCTAACGTTTTGAGATTTTTACAGTGTTCTTTAATATACTCTATAAAGTTATGCCATTATCTGTAAAATTTATTATCCTCTTGGGGCCTGATCTTCCCGGTCAGCCTTGCCATCTCCTCATAGTCCATCATCTTCGTTATCCATTCTTCTTTTGATGGGGCTCTTTAAGAAACCATATTTCTTAAAGCTATGGCAGTCTCCGCCGTGTCTCAATTCTCCAAAGGACCCCAGACCCCGGGTGGGTGTCTGGAACCCCACTGGGATCTTGCTATCACTTGGCGGAGAGTGGGGGAGGCACCTAACTTTTGCAACAACTTATATTTCTTTTCCAGTATCTTAAACAAACGAAGGTTTATTCCTTCCGTCAATACATTACATCCAAACGGTGTCATTTCATTTCAGAATGGATTCCGATCTATGGTAGGTTGCGAGGAAAGCACTATGTTAAGAGTCGTAATTTTCTTCTTTGGCTTAGTGGGATAAGTGCTGTGTATATCCTTGGAGTAAACAGTCCAATTTGGGCAAGGAAACAAGCACTGCTTACCTACCACTTTGACGTCTTAAAGCACTCAAGGAATGCTACCATCTAATCATCTCGCTCCCTTGTCTGGGTATTAAACTGAAGCAAAAAGTGCCTCCTTCCTAGACAATTTATTAACTTTGCCGGGTTTGCAAAAAATTGGGGGTCATGTTTTCTTCACCACTTGAGAGTGCATGTAAAACATTTCTCTTTATGTCTGTCATTAAAGTCATACATATTTGCCAAGGTATAAATAAAGAAACATCTTTTGACTTGCAATAAAACCTAGACTGGTACATTTCAGGAGATTTTTTTTTGTTGTTGAGACAAACCTCCCTCTTTTTCTTTTTTTGGAAAAAAGTTCTGTGTTAATGCCTTGAGTAGCCACAATTTCATTACCGAGGCCAGTATAGATGACTTCTCATGTGTGTTACCTTTAGTTCTGAATGTCCTTTGGGCCTGGTGGAACATTCCACCTTTTTAGGCCAGGTCTTACCGTATTTTTCGCTGTATAAGACGCACCAGACCACAAGACGCAACTAGTTTTTGGAGGAGGAAAACAAGAAAAAAAATATTCTGAATCTCAGAAGCCAGAACAGCAAGAGGGATCGCTGCGCAGTGAAAGCAGCAATCCCTCTTGCTGTTCTGGCTTCTGGGACAGCTGTGCAGCCTGCATTCGCTCCATAAGATGCACACACATTTCCCCTTACTTTTTAGGAGGGAAAAAGTGAGTCTTATAGAGCAAAAAATACGGTAATTTGTTTTTGAGTTTCTGCAGCTCTCAAAGACGGCGAGAAATCCAGAGCTTAACTAGTGACTCATTGAAGTTAATTTATCTTTTTCCTTGGAATTAGATATGCTGGTATTTTCGCTCCCAAACCTGCTTTATTAATTATATAGGAATTTAAAAAATGAAACCCAAGAGACACTTAGTGCGTCCTGTTGCTGTCTCTTGTGTCATGATGGAGAGCAGATGAGACCTTGCAGCCGGAAATAGATTACAGCATCTCCAGGGATCTAAAGGTGATCTGAAAAAGACTTCTCTGGTCATCTCCTACAGTTACTGGCAAGCAAGCTCTGTGGGGATCTTGCTGTACTTCTGTCCTGTTGGAACAGAGATAATGACCGCTCCCCACATCAAATGGGGGGTGCCTTTTGCATGGTTGCGTGCAGCCCCCCCGATCCCATGTGGCTCCCGGCAGTACAGGCCTGGATTCGTCCCCCCCCCCCCAGCTGGACACCTGGAGGTAGCCGCCTACCTCTGCCAGTTATCCAATCCCAGCTGGGGAGGCGTTGCCAGGAGAGAGCTGTCCAGGTAAGGGGAGGGATCGCCCAGCCCACACAATAGTGGGCGGAACTTACCTGGGAGTTCTCAGTTCTAAATAGAATAGGAAAGACCTCTACTCATCAGATCAATACTTTCTGTACTAAGAAATGCAAACTGACACACCTCTCACCCATAACTGTACATCATTTACGAACATGTTTTTAAAGACAGGTCCCAATACTGATCCTTGAGGGGGAATTACGTTTGTAGTTACATTTGTGGAGTACAGGGTCAGATTTAAGGTGCTGGTTTTGACCTTTAAAGCCCTTCACGGCCTAGGACCCTTGTACCTACGGGACTGCCTCTCCCAGTATGCCCCACGGAGAGCCTCAAGGTCCATAAACAGCAATACCCTAGTGGTCCCGGGCCCTAAGAAAGTTAGATTAGCCTCAACCAGAGCCAGGGCCTTCTCAACACTGGCTCCGGCCTGGTGGAATGTTCTATCTCATGAGATCAGGGCCCTGCGGGATCTGATTTCTTTCCGCAGGGCCTGTAAGACAGAGTTGTTCCACCTGGCCTTTGGCTTGGAATCAACTTGATCCCCTCCCCCTCTTTCTTTTTCCTTTCTCCTGTGAAGAGCCTGCATCCTAATGTTTTAATGTTGTATCTTAATATTTTAAATTGTATTTTAATCAACTTGTTTTTATTATTGGTTGTTAGCTGCCCTGAGCCCGGTCTTGGCTGGGGAGGGCGGGGTATAAACAAAAATTTATATTATTATTATTATTATTATTATTATTATTATTATTATTACAGTGGTACCTCAGGTTACATACGCTTCAGGTTACAGACTCTGCTAACCCAGAAATAGTGCTTCAGGTTAAGAACTTTGCTTCAGGATGAGAACAGAAATCGTGCTCCGGCGGCGCAGCGGCAGCAGCAAGAGGCCCCATTAGCTAAAGTGGTGCTTCAGGTTAAGAACAGTTTCAGGTTAAGTACGGACCTCCGGAACAAATTAAGTACTTAACCTGAGGTACCACTGTATTATTATTATTATTTCTACATCTTTCCATTCGGAGAACTGACTATATATTCCTACTTTCTACTACTTAACTAATTTCTGATCCACAAAAGGGACTCTCCTTTTATTCCATGACTGCTAAACTTAGGAGTCTTTGGTGAGGTACAGTTAGCCCACATCTTACACATGTAAATGGTGTGCTTGGCAAAAATAAAAAATATAAATATAAAAAGAGGTCGGAAAGTGGGCAGGCGTCTTTGGCAATCCCACTCACCATTGCAATGTCAATGTGTTTTTACTATACAGGATACAACTGATTTGTGCGGGTTTAAGGCTGCTGCCCTGGCCTGTTCTGTCTCCGGCCTGTTCCACCCCTTTTGTGACATTTGTGGGATGTAATCCATTGGTGCAGTCAAGAGCAATGTTCCTTATTTCCCTAGAGTGGACACAGGCAGGGGGACATCCAGTCAGTGTAACTTCCTGCTCCACTGGTCTCTGGGAGATGGGCATGGCTCTGGCTGACTTCATAAAAGAGCCAAGTCATGCAGCCATTTTCTCAGTCTAGTTCGCCTTGTCTTGTCTTGTTCTCTCTCTTGCTGCCATGCTGCTCCCCTGCAGCCATTTTGTTCTACTAATGTAATTCCTGCTGTCTGCTGGCTCTCAGCCAGCAGCACATGAGTTCAGTCTCCCTATGAGACAAACTCACTCTGTGTAACTACCAAGTAAAGCCTGCCTTTCAGGGATCAAATTGTGAACTGAAATGCGAGTAAACTTTTTGTTACTTTACTCAGAAAGATTCTTGTGTCTTTATTCTTTTAGGAGGGATTAAAGGGGACACCAGGAAATAATCTTTACGAAGAGATTCAAACGAATCTGCAAACTAGCTCCCAGCTATATTGAGGGGAATTTGCTCTGCTACATCACTTCAGTCGCGTGACTGAAGGAAGGATAATATTTATTCAATATATCCTTTCCTACTACAGTGGTACCTCGGGTTAAGTACTTAATTCGTTCTGGAGGTCCGTTCTTAACCTGAAACTGTTCTTAACCTGAAGCACCACTTTAGCTAATGGGGCCTCCTGCTGCACGATTTCTGTTCTCATCCTGAAGCAAAGTTCTTAACCTGAGGTAATATTTCTGGGTTAGCGGAGTCTGTAACCTGAAGCGTATGTAACCCGAGGTACCACTGTATCCTTAACGTTCCCACATCATTTTTTGGGGTCACTTTTCCTTCAGTTTTCGCTGCAGCACCTCCATACAGGCCCAACTGAGAAGCCCTGATGATATCCTTATTTGAAGAACGGATTCAGTAGACCCGTGGCTAACCCCCTTCCACCCCATCTTGCCATGCTACCACCCGCAGGAACACCACCAGTGGTATCCTTAGATCTCCTGAGCTTTCCGTAGCTCTCAGTGGGGGACGTCTGCAGCAGATGCCATCTCTACCCCAGAAGCTGATGGAGGCCGTTGGACAAGGATGTCCACTACATCCTCGCCCTCTCAGCAGCAGAGCTCAGAAGGTTAGGACTGACACAGCAAACCTTAAATAAATAAAGCAAAATCTCCCTGTACATCTTGCAACAGGCTTGAGAAAGTCGCCAGCCTTCGACGGAAAATGTTCCTGTAGCAGGAAGCCGTTAAGTTGAAATCCATTTGTGGATTTGACGCTGTGAAACTTGGGTCTCGCTAGGAACTAGGAGTGGCTAGCTGACCGCAGGATGCAACTCTCCCATTGTTTGGTCTTTATGTACACTCTTTTATCTTGTTTTGGCTGTTCTTCCCCAGTTGGGAGTGAGCCACATCTACCCTGAACCTCTTACTCTTTTGTTTCACCGAATCCTGTTTACATTTGTGCTCTGCAAAGTAACGTGAGTGACACATCTATCTTTTCCATCGCTGACCTTTCCAGCCTTGCTTTGTAATAACACCTGGCACCTGTTTCTTTCTGTACCTGTACCTGTCAGTTGAGAGTAACATTTCATGTATCTGACAAAGTGGACCATCATCCATGAAAGCTGGTGTCACAGTAAGTCTGTTGATCTTTAAGATGTTGCTTAGTTTGTTGCAGGAAAAACCAATGAAGAAGCTCATTCCACTGGAATTTGAAATATGATTTCATGTTTTAATATCATCTATCTATTGCAGGCATGGCCAAACTTGGCCCTCCAGATGTTTTGGGACTACAAACCAGAAGTGAGTGTTCTGGTTTTCAAACTATTTTCGGAAGCCAAATGTCTGGCGCAGCTTCCACGGCTTCCGATTGGCTGCAAGGAAGCTCCTGCAACCAATCGGAAGCTGCGCCTTGGTTATGGAATGGACTTCTGGAACGGATTCCATTCAGCTTCCAAGGTACGACTGTATTAAAAACAGCTATGTTGCTTCCTATTAAACTGGCCACATCAATTTATGATTCTATTTACATATTGTGGGCTAAACTCTGGAGCCGAATAAAGGGACGGAGGCTTCTTAATGGCTCTTGTTTATTTCAACAAGCCTACTCTGAGATATAATTTAATAAAATGCAAAGGAAAAACATTATCAACAGAACACAGATAAAACCAACAAAAGCTTTTAAAAACGAATATGCATAACTATATTTGCTTTAAAACATTGTAGATTTTATCTTGCTTTTGTTGGTTTTTAAAAAAATTATTGACACTGCTTAGAGTTTTCTGGTTAAGCCATCTAGAGATCCCTCTAAATAAAACAAATACATCCAGTGCAATGAACCCCCCCCCCCAGCACTTTTAATTTCCCCCCAGCCTTGAATTATTCAAAAAGGAGGTGGGGGGGGGGAGATGTTGGAAAGTAAACACATATTCTCTGCAACAATGATACACATTGCATGGTGGCGCATTTGCTTTGCTTAATGTTCTCTTCCAAATTTACCTGATTCTGGCGCATGTGCCTGTAAACATGATAATGAGATGAAATTATAGGAGCTGTCAATTGATGCTGTCTGAATGGCAGCCAAGATGTTTGTTGATTGCTGGTGCACCGCCAGGCCTCTTTAGAAATTAAAGGATTCTTTTAAATCATAAAATTGCTTTGTATTGAGAGTTAATTATGAATGACTGCGAAGCATTTTATATTGAGCAAATAAGCCTATTTTCACTCCCTGCACTGATTGGCAAAGTGTTTTGCATCTTTCCTGTAGCAATTACCACAGGCCCCGTGCATATTAGGCCTTGTCCTCTGCTGTGCCGTGTGTGGAAAGCATCAAACCACCCTTGCTATCTGGCACCAAATTCTGGGAGCTTTCTAGTAAAACAAATGTACCTTTAAAAAGTTAACTTTCTTTCCCTCACGATCGTGAAGAGCGACCCGAAGCCATTTTTTTTTGTGGAACTCTGCAAGATCCATGGAAGTCATGGAATTCTACTCAATATTGATCCAGAGCAGACTCCAACGTATAGTTAGCAGAGTAAAACTTAAACACATTGCAGAAACACTATTTCCAAAAAATAGACCAGAGGCAAAGCTCCAGCAGAGCTTTGCTGCTACTGAAGGCCAATGAGTATAATGGGCACAAATTCAATACAGTGGTACCTCTGGTTATAAACTTAATTCGTTCTGGAGGTCCTTTCTTAACCTGAAACAGTTCTTAACCTGAGGTACCACTTTAGCTAATGGGGCCTCCCCTGCTACTGAGCCGCCGGCGCATGGTTTCTGTTCTCATCCTGAGGTAAAGTTCTTAACCCGAGGTACTACTTCTGGGTTAGTGGAGTCTGTAACCTGAAGTGTTTGTAACCCGAGGGACCACTGTACATTCAGGATTGGCACTGTCCATAAGAAATCCAATTGTAGCAGACTTAACTTAAACTTACAATAACTTATAATAAGTCTAAACCTTAACAATATAGCATACTATATACAGAACACCACACCAGAAGGAAAAGAGATAGAAAGAGAAACTTATAGTCAGCACGACCTTGACAGAAAGAGATAAGAGAACCAGTTTAAGCCAGCTGTACTCAGTTTATCTGAAGGGATAACCCAAACATCACAAACCTTCTGCTTGCTTCT